CCCGAGAATGTGGCGACACATACCTGGGGTTACGCCGCCTAAACGGTGCAGTGAAGTAAGCTATAGTTTGAAAGGCTGCTCGTTCAGCTGTACACAGCCGCTCTTAGACAGCGCACCAGTAGCGCTTCAACGGACGAAAACACACACACAATTGTCTAAATACGTGGTTTTGGCGAGTTACCTCATAAACGTAGTTTTAAATGAGTTATAAAGTCTTAAATGACCGTAAAGAGTTTAGAGAAAATAGGATATGTGCATTTTTTTTTTTTAATTGATTGACAGACAACAGTAATGTTAACCTTTTAGATTTTAGATTTCAATTTAAGTTCTAGTTGTATAGGTCCCCCCAGAAAGAGATCCAGACGGCCCCCACCCCCTTGGCCCCCTTCAAATTTTCTATTTAATAGAATGTTTAACACTGATGCATCATCATCCTGCACATGCTAAACCTTTAACTAAATAAGTTACACATTTTAAAAGTAAATTTGGAAAACAAAATGTAAGACATTGTTCTTAAGGTGTATATCTCCCCCATCGTTACGCTTTATTTTAAATTTACTACACCAAGCTAATATTATTAATCAACTTCTTTTGAGATTGTTAGTAATCAAAATCTCTTAGAATACCTAAAAGTGATTTTTTGCATAATTATTTACTTTTTGTGACAACACAATACTGTAATATGCTACTTTAAACATTCCCCCAGTAGTGTTTAAATACATTTAAGTTGTCAATATAAAATGTGTTATAACATTTAAGCCAGAAAGACCTTAACATATGCTTTGAATAGTTTATTATTAATATTATTAACATATAAAGAAACAAAGCATATAGCACAATGTAATGTTACACATAATATTACAATGTAACATAAATTGGACAACCTTGACATTCTCCATGATTAAGGTGGATGTATTAAGTATCAAAGAAATATTAATATCTGTGTAAAACATACTACTTAAAAAAAAATCCTGTTTCAAAAAAGCTTTATAGTTTGAAACAAGAATTTGTGTTCAATCGTTTCGAACACTTTGTAAAAATCCCAAATATTTTATCACCATCTTCTATATTTTTAGCATAATCTAAAAGGTCAAGCACTAATCTAATATTAGTTATGTGACGACCATTTAGAAAGCCTGTTTGATACTCGCTGATAATCTTATTTTCCGTAGCCTATTAGCAAATTTTCACGTAATACACTGTTTTTCTCAACATTTTCTTGCTGTATAAACTGTGTACATTATGTTACTGTAGATTTTGTTGTTTTCATAGTATTATTGTATTCTCAACAGTTCCGTACTGTGTACACGGTTTACAGTATGTTACCGTAGATTTCCAATGCATTATGGGAAATTATCAGTTACTGTATGTCTAAATACATTAGTGCAAATAATTATAATTAGTTTATAATCAACTGTTAAAAGAGAGATCGGTCTCCAATTTTCTATCAAATGTGGTTCTTTATCAGGTTTAGCAATTAATAAAATTATATCCTGTTTCATCATAGTAGAAGTATCAGGGAAACACACTGGACAGATCGGTAAGTTTTCAAAACAATCCAAAACACTTTATTAACAGAACTGAATGCAAATAGACAGCAGAGCAGAGGATATGACGGATATGGGAGATGAATGGTGAGTAAACTAGCACTCGCGCGCTCTCCTAGAGACGGTGCGCTCATGCACACTCAAGCGCACACACATAAGGCCGCCTCACATACAGCTCAAGAAATCAGACTTGTGCTGAGTGTAAGCTTTTGTGCAACAATTTCCCCATTGTAAAAACAAAAATGTGCTGCATGATCAAACATTTAGGTGAGATAATTATATATTTTCGAAAAATGTCATACATGATAAAAAGAAGGCTTCAAAAAGTGGTCATATCGGTGATTGTATCGGCAGAAACTGCTTCCAGTGATCGACGATCGGCGAACGACTCCAAAAGTCCTGATCGGAGCACCATCGCATTTGACCACAATTAATACATTCATTATACATATTATAAAGAATATTTTCAATCCAAAAAGGTAAATAAAATTGTACGGTCAACCCGTCTATTAGTGCTTTCACTTTTTTTTTTTTCATTCCAAGAAGGGAATTTTTGATCTCATGAGAGGTTATATTTGATTTCAAGTCTTGAAATTCTTTATCAATAATAGGAATGTTTTGATTAATTATTGGAAATAAATCTTCACAATTACATAGATCAAATTTAGAATTATATAATTCACTATAAAATGAAAAAAAAAAAAAAAAATCAGAATTCCCTTTCATGGGAACTTCGAACTGCGTGAAATTAAAGTGATTTCTATATTTTATCCATTCAGAAGTCTACGAAAGCGATCCCAGTTCTGTATATAAAACGTAGCATAATGTAGACTAAAAACGTAGCGGAATATGGTTAGCTGTGCAATGTCGTCTTTTGCCATAATACCTGCAGACTGCAGCCAATAGAGATGCTTCTCTATCGTTGCGCGTCCTGCTCCTCACAGAACAGATCGTGAAAGCAGACTGCAGTTTGTCATTCATTATAACAAACAAAGTGTAGCGACGATGTAAATAATAAATTCAGTGTGCAGTGTTGAGAGCTTCATTAATTAAAATGCAAGTTTGTGAGATTGCGATGAACTAAGACGGGTGACAGCTTTTTAATGATAAAGTTAGCAAATGTGATATTGATTTTATACAACAGTTTTATACATTTTTGATTTTATACAAAAGTTAATATTAAAGTGACTTACATTTTAGGAATACTGTTGTCTGATTGTGCTCTATTGTCAACAAAATAGTTCCAAACAAATTCACAGCTGAGCCGCTACGCATCTCCATTCAAACACAGCGGTGTTTAGTTTATGAATGAATCTGCATTTTTGAACAAATCTAGTGAGTCAATGATTAAATGACCCATTCATATAGAGAGTCACTTGCTTTGTTCCTAAATGAATCAGCTGTTTGAACAAATCGATTGAATAAATGAATCAGTAACCAAGACTTTGACTTGCTGCCACCTACTGGCGGTTTCAGTTTCATTTTAAAGTATAAATTGAGTCATTTAAATCTTTAACATTTCTATATTCAAAACTTTATATTTAAAACATTAATCTCATAACATTGACATTATGACATTATGACATTGTGCATTAATGCCACCTCTGAGTCTTGTCAAAAGGTCTGTAAATATTCCACATTTGTGCTCTTTTGTGCCGTGCAAAGATTAATTGTTGATGTTTAATTTGACTGCACTGCAAAAAATGCTTTTCTTACTTAGATTTTTTGTCTTGTTTCCAGCCAAAATATCTAAACATTCTTAAATCAAGAAGGATTTTCTAGACAAGTAAAAAATATTGTCTTGTTTTCAGAAAAAAAGACATGTC